CTTTTGATTAGCAGCTGAGCTTTTAACCACTGTGCCACCAGTGCTCCCAGTGTCTGCTGATGTCTTCAAATTCATCATGCCTGAATACTCCACCCCTCCCAAATTGCCTATAAATTCCCTATAAATTAGCAGCACTGTCATCTACCCAGTCATCAAGTTGGAAATCTAGGAATTAATTATACTTAACTTTTTCTTCCCTTGTCCACCACACCCACTTTGTCACCAAGCCCTGTCAAGTCTATTTGTGAAATGTCTCTCAGATTCTCTTTCGCCTACTTATCCTGGTTATCACTGCCTAGACTACTCCTTCAACATCTCTTTCCTGGAGTTTTTGCAATAGCCTCCTAACTGGTGTTCATATTCCATGTTGCCTCCAGAGTTATCTTACTAAAACATAAATTTGAACATATCTAACACCTATGACTACCTATTCCCTACAATGTAAATTCATTTACAGTTTTACCATAACCTCATTGATTACCACACCTCCCATATGTCCCACACTACCGTAGCAATATCCAATAATATACCATTTCCCAAATTAACTATGGAATTCACATTTCTTTTTCTTTTTTGTTTTTATGCTGATCCTTCTTTGTCTTTCTGGGGGACACCTATTCTCTTTAAGTCCGACCTGCCCAGCTCAAATATGTCCTCTACCCACACAGTAGTTCTTCTACCTATGTTTCTGTATTTTATGTCTCTCACACTAGGCTATCAGATCCTGCTAGTAACTTTCAAGAGTGCAGATTCAGTAAAGTACTAAGGTTAGGAGCCAAATGCTGATTTTTAATGAGGGCATGGAAGAATATAAAGTAGAAACAGTGAGTATAAGCCAAAATTAAAGAGTTTGACAGGGCAAAGAGGGAAAGAAACTGAATAACTAGATGAGGCAACAAATTTTTTAAAGTGTTTTAAATGTTTATTATATTAAACTGTTTGAAGGAGCCATGAAGAGGGAGAAATTAAAAATATAAGAGGAGCAAGGTCTTAGGAGAAAGGTACTAGCTTTGGGAAAAAAATAGAAAGTGTTTTTTTTTTTTTTCCTTCCTGGAATGAATGGATGAAAATTTAAATTTGTCAACAATGAAGTGTTGAGCTGAGGATGAAGGCATAGCAAGAATTTGACGGCTTTAATCTGTGACAGGGCAAAGTATCCACTCAGGATGGTATAATCACCCTTGGGGCCAGCTCACAAGAGTCAAGTGTTAAATACTCAGGAATTTTGTGAGCTGGTTGTTGAACTGTTAGTAGCTTGAGTCTGTCATGGTGAGTATATTTATACCACAAAAATGGCAAGTGCTATACAAATCAGTTTTTGTTTTTGTTTTTCCTGGCGATTACTGGGTTTACCAGCACACCACTAGCACGCCATTATACCTCAGGGCTTTGGTGAAGGCTGAGTCAAAATACTTTTAGATATTAGTGAACACTGTGTTGAAGTTGGAGAGCACGATTGTATTTTGGACTTTGTCAACCTTGTTTGGTGTTTCCCTTCAGGAAATCTCTGCTGTACAATAAAAAAGGTGGCTGGTGGTGATCTAAGAGGTGAAAATTAACAAAGTAGGTTTAAGGATAGGGAATGTAAGATACTGGAGAGAGAGAATAAAATGCCAAAAGTGGCATGGGGAAGGAGCAGAGGCAATTTAACTAGGAGAAAATTAGTAGGGAACTTATGAATTAAGCATTGTTATGGGGGAAGATTCTGGTTGGAATATAATGTTTGTGTCATGAGGAATGAGAAAGAGATCTAGCAAGGGAGTTGTTCAGAAGAATAGGAAATGCTAAATAAAGATCTCTGTATAAAGACTTCTAGGAGGTGGACAAAGTCATAAATGAAAGAAAGGAAAGTATGTTGTAAAGGAAGGCAAAGAACTGCAAATTTCAAAGATCTAAAGGGTATTCAGAATCTTGAAGTTGCTTAAGAATGATGGTAGGCAATAGAGAGAGGCAGAAGAACATGAGCCAAGTGCTAAAGTCACAGGGAGATGAAAATTGGTCCTAGGAGCCAATAGACAAGTTGGTGATTTGGAGAGTCAGATGCACATGTTTCAAATAATGAGAAGCAGAGGATGCATGGTAGATCATGAACTGAAAAGGGCACAAGAAAACAAAGTGCTGTTCATTCACTGAGTCGAGTGTTTACTGCCATAGATCTCAGTACTCACAGTGGAAGTAGTCCCTATCACTAGTGATGCC